AAGTTCCAGGAATCTAGGGCTATACAGAGAAACCCTGTCTCAAAAACAAATGGAGAAGAGGAAGAGGAGGAGGAAGAAGAAGAGGAGGAAGAGGAGGAGGCAATGAATCACCTAGAACTGGAGTAACAGAGGATTGAGTGTCACTGTGTGGATGTTGGAGAGTGAACTCTGGTCCTCTGCAAGAACAGTAAACTCTCTCAGTTGCTGATCTATCTCCCAAGCCCCCCACTGAGTGCCGTTTTAAAAAGAATGGCAAGGTTTAAGTATATAGAAAGAGTACTCTGGGGAGTCAATTTAGGATGGGCAGAAGCAGGGATACTGGTTTGGGGCCAGTTGTAGTCTCCAGGTAGTAGATAGTATCTTGGCATGTGGCTGTGATAATGATTGCTGGGTATAAAAACAAGGGGACAATGAGAAACACGAGCTTTCAGAGCTGGAAGCCACTCTCCTCTTGGAAGGCTGGCTTCAACTGTCCTTTAGCATGCACCAACCACATCCAATCAGGAAAACAACCTTTAAAAAAATTCCAGCTGTTCACAGAAGTTCACATCTGTACTCTCAGCATTCTAGAGGCAGAGCCAGGCGTTTTTCTTGTAAGGTTCAGGCTAGCCTAGTCTGTATAGTAAGATCCTGTCTCAAAGTTAACCAACCTACTAAACCACCCCACAAAACAAAAAGCAAAAGATAAAAAATGGACACAAATAAGAGAGTCCACAAAGGTCTGGATTTTATACAAAAACAGGTTAATTAGCCTGTATTGGATAAATGAAGAGAAGGTTAACAGGAAAGTGTGTAAGGGGAAGGACAGGCAGGGAAGGGGAAGGGGCTGACTAAAAAACTGCAAGAGAGCAGGGCGGCGGTGGCGCTCGCCTTTAATCCCAGAACTGGGGAGGCAGAGGCAGGCGGATCTCTGTGAGTTCAAGGCCAGCCTGGTCTACAGAGTTTCAGGACAGCCAGGGCTTCACAGGGAAAACCTTGCTAGGAACCCGGATAATGCCCCGCCCCCCACCACCCGTGCCCAAATAAATAAGCAATATCAAGAGTAAGAAAGATGTATGAAGGTCTGAGAGGAGTAAGGGGGGTTCTAGGAGAGGCAAAAGAACTGAGAAAGGGGCTAGGGGAGGCAGTGACAGGCACATCGTGTCATTGGACCTCTAGGGTCTGCAGGGTGCAAACATAGACTAAAGGAAGCAAAGATACCAAGGGAGGAATGAGAAACTTAGAAGACACGATGGGCAGAAGGATGGGGTCAAACTTTGGGAAGTAGGAGTGTAAGGTTGAGATAGGGTTCTTTAGGGGTGTGTCAAGGACCACCTTGGGGATGTGGCGTGAAAGGGCGCTCAACCCTGGAAGCTCAGAAGGAGGGGAGGGGAAGCGTGTGTCTGGGGGAGGAGGTGAGAGTGGAGGGTAGACTTGAAATGACACCTGGGGAGGGGAATGTTGGGTGTGGCAGCGACTCTGACCCAGGTTTTACTCTACTTCTCACGCTCGGCGGAGGAAAGGCTTTCCGCGCTCTCTTCCTTTAGGAAGAAGGAGCCTTGATGTTGGAGGAGGCACTGCCGGGCTCAGGTAGTAAGTCCTGTTACCAAGCACGGGCTTCAGGGACCGGCTTGTGGGGCTGTTGAAAAGCCAAGCCTCGTAGAGGGCTAACTGGAGGGCTTCAGCAGTGAAGCGGAGGGTTGCTCGACCATGTCTCTGGAGCAGAAATTCCTAGAAGGGGGTAGCACGGGTGATTTCACCATAATGGACGAGTGCTCCTGAAGACTGGGGGGGCCATGGAAGGAAACTGAAGAAAAAGGAGGCGAAAGTAGGGCTAGACAAAGAGTACGCGCCGAGACCCGCAGGGCAAGCCAGGCAGGCAAGGAGCCCTTCCAGGGGCGTCTACAGGAACTAGCTCCGTACCTGTTTGGAAAAGAAAGGAAGGGGCAATCTGGAGTCTTCAGGGGAGACTCCAGGGACTTGGGCGAAGCCTTCGCCTATTTCCCATCAGCAGTTAGAGCCAGGCAAATGAAGGGGCGTGACACCGCGCTCAGGTTTCTTCCTCTTCACCTGGACAAGGAGGGGGTGGGGGCCAAGACTTCCGGTTCAGGTGAGTGTCCCTTCGGTGACGTCAGGTCACCCTCGACTGCCCCTCTGGTCCCGCCCCAGCCCCCGCGCTCCCGTTGCCTGCGGGAGCGCGTCCCCGACGCCCTACATATACTCAGGTGCGCCGCACCTGTTCGCCCGCACCTGCCGCTCACCGCCCAGCTCTCTGCCGTGCACCGCAGCCTGGGGCCCGGGGGCCCGCATACTTTCTGGGGGCCACGCCCTAGCGGCCCCTCCACTTCTTCAGGTAGTCTCTGAGCTCGCCGGAGGGAACCGCCTGGCCTTCGGGGGCCCCTTTTGTCTGGAACCAGTCCTTCGGGCGAAGCCGGTTCCCTCTGCTGTGAGTGTCGCTTCACCGGAGGGGACGATTTGTGTTTACCTCGGTTAACAAGATTTGCAGTTAACCGGCCCCCCCAAAAAAAACTTTTTCTTTTTCCCATCTCTGGGTGACATAAATCTCCATCCAAATTTTCTTGTGTTGCTTCCCAGATTCTGTTTTACTGTAGGGTCGCCCTCCCGGCGCGTCCCATCTTTTCTGAGACGGAAATGGCCAATTCGGGCCTGCAACTGCTGGGCTTTTCAATGGCCATGCTTGGCTGGGTGGGCCTGATTGCGAGCACTGCCATTCCTCAGTGGCAGATGAGCTCGTATGCTGGCGACAACATCATCACAGCCCAGGCCATGTACAAGGGGCTCTGGATGGAGTGCGTCACGCAGAGTACCGGCATGATGAGCTGCAAAACGTACGACTCGGTGCTCGCCCTGCCGGGTAAGGCCGCTGGGACCGACGGGGCGGACGTGCCCGCAGTCAAGGTGGCGGGGTTGGGTGTGGGGCAGGGCTGAGGCCGCAGGGCCTGGCGCCCGGGGTTGCCAGGGAGGAGGAAGTGGACGCCTTGAGCCCAGTCGGTGGGACCCGGGGGAAGAGGGCCTGGGATCCGGCAGTCGCACGTGGGCCCACGCCCCTCTGCCCGGCTTGATGTGGGGAGTCCTGGGGAGAGACACCCCCGCCCGCCCTCGGGCAGTCAGTGGTTTCTGTCTTCTGCTTCTTTCTCTGTGACAAAGGGGGATCAGGACGGAGGTGCCTAGGGCCGCAGAATCGTGCCCTCGTTAGACGTGGGACCGCACTTGTGGCCTCTAATCTTATCGGCTGATTAGCTGAAGCCACAAACCCGGTGGCCTCGATAGCGGGGGCAGAGCTAGGACACGCGCCGGCCGGTGTGGCTCAAACGAGGGCCCTGGCCGCCACCTGCACTTCCCTTTCGCCCCCATTCTCCCTCCCTTCCCCCTACCTGGCGCGGTTTCATCGAAACCTCGGCGCCCCGGGCGGGTTCTGAAGCTCGGGGCGGGGCGGAGAGCTGGATGACCGGGGTGGCGGGATGGGGGCGGGAACTGTCTGCCCAAGGCCCGTCTTGGCCGAGGGGGCCCCTGGCTGGCGGTGGAGCCCAACTGGCACACTGCGGTCCAGGGGTTAGTGGGCGCGGTCTGCAGCACTTAGGCTGGCGCCATCCTAAGGCTACACACCATTTCCAACCCTGCCTCTTTTGCAGCTTCTCTGCAGGCCACTCGAGCCCTAATGGTGGTGTCCCTGGTGTTGGGCTTCCTGGCCATGTTTGTCGCCACGATGGGCATGAAGTGTACGAGCTGTGGGGGCGATGACAAAGTGAAGAAGGCCCGTATAGCCATGACTGGAGGCATTGTTTTCATCGTGGCAGGTGAGCCACAGGTCCCATGTGGGATCAGGGGCACTTTCCCACCCAGAAGAGCATTGCCAAGGGCTTGGATTGGACACCCAATAGCACAGTCTTTCTTTCTCTTCCTAGGCCTTGCTGCCTTGGTAGCATGTTCCTGGATTGGTCATCAGATTGTCACAGACTTTTATAACCCCTTGACACCCATGAATGTTAAGTAAGTCTTCTAGAGAGACCAATCTGTGGACTTGGGACAGGGAGGACATCAGGCCTGGGTTTTGACTCCAATCCTTTCTCTCCACAGGTATGAGTTTGGTCCTGCTATCTTTATTGGCTGGGCAGGGTCTGCTTTGGTCCTCCTGGGAGGTGCCCTGCTCTCTTGCTCCTGTCCTGGCAGTGAAAGCAAAGCTGTATACCGTGCACCCCGCTCCTACCCTAAGTCGAATTCTGCCAAGGAGTATGTTTGAGCGGGGTTGCTCGGCCTGTGGGCAAGGTGTGGGACAAAGGCCTCCTGGTCACTCCATCCCTGAACACCATGTACAGTCCTGGGGGCGGGGGCGGGGAGGGAGGGACTGGGAGAAGACCACAAAACATAGGGTGTGCTTTTTGTACAATAATAAAATTACGTTTTGGAAATTAGGTGACTTCAGGCCTTTCTCCACACCTGGATCCTCACGCAGGAGTTGGCACTGAAGTGCCTACGGCAGCAGCAGAACAGAGTAAAGTGCCAGTGGTGCCTCTAGGCCTTTAGTCCCTATTTTGTTAGGCCTAATGACTTGCCTCTAGACTCAGGCTCTTTTTTTTTTTTTTTTTTTGGTTTTTCGAGACAGGGTTTCTCTGTATTGTTTTGGAGCCTGTCCTGGACCTCACTCGGTAGACCAGGCTGGTCTCGAACTCACAGTGATCCGCCTGTCTCTGCCTCCTGAGTGCAGGGATTAAAGGCGTGCGCCACCAACGCCGGGCTAGACTCAGACTCTTAACTATTCTCCCCCAAACTCTTTTTCTCATTGAGCACGATTCTGTGTGCTCAATGCTATATGGGTGTGCAAGTGTAGGTCAGAGACAGCTTTGTGGAATTGGGTCTCTCCTACCTTTCTGTGGGTTCCAGGGATTGAACTCAAGTCACCAGGCTTGTGGCAACTACCTTTACCTGCTGAGTTATCTCACCAGCCCCTAGCCACAACATATACTTTTCTTTAAGCAGTTACCAAGCTTTTTCAACTAATATTCATGTGTATCTATTTTATTAGAAATAGGCATGGGAAGAGGGAAGTTCCTTATTCTCTGGCTATATATTATGCTTTCACAACACTTTCTGCCCCAGTTAGATGTTACTCCTCGGTTCACAGAACAGGGCCTCCATACACAAAGCAACAAAGGGAGGGTAGGGACCAGGTAAAGTTCTGAGGCATAGTCTTCCTGTCCCATCTGTCCAGTCAAATGTCTAGATCATCATCTGGGTCTTCTTGGTCCACGTCATCAAAAGCATCTGGTTCATAGAAGATGTGGCTAGTTGTCTGGCCTGGTCCACGGCGCAGCAGAGCCTGTTGTCTAAGGAAGGAAGAAGTGACATGATGAGGGTGGGTGATAGGCAGGGCTGGATAGTTTCACTTAGGTAACCCATCCAATGTGTGTCATTTTCTTGGTCTAAGTTCCAAGGGGAATCAGAGCTGAAGTACCACTAGGCCTGGAGTAGGGACTGCTCTAACAAACCCCAAGTCCTCAGCACTGGAAGGCAGAGATTCTTGAGTCACGCTCTACACCCACCCACACACCCGGCACAGAGCAACAGGCAGCTCGTGAGCCCTAGTCAATCAGTCCTTGCCACACCCATATACACTGCAGTTTGGGCACTGATGCCTGGAGAAAAGGCGACCTCTCCATCTGGTCTGCTTCAGCCAGGGCCCATAGCTTTACTGGAGAGAGTGCAGAAAGGCCCTCTATCCTTGTAGGAATTCTATATGGTGGGCAGGGAACCACTCCCTAGACTGTCTTTGGAGGTGGACTTCAGCCCCTATAAAATCTGAGGTTAATCAATAACCTGCCATCACCCCACCTTCCTGGTCCCAGATGCTGAGATCCCAGCCCAGCCTTACTTTTCAGAGCTGAACTGGAAGGGTAGAGTGAGACTGTCTCTGGCTTCTCTTTCTTTCTCGGATAAGTGAAGGTTAAAGGTCAAGTCAGTCGTGGGATCCACCTGTAGGTACAAGTGCTGCTGCCGATCAGTTCTACTTTTCAACCCCAGACCTCCCAGCATCTCTAGATTTTTGTATTTATCTATTTATTTTTGCAGGACAGGGTTTCTCTGTGTAGCCCTGGCTGTTCTAGAATTAGCTCTGTGGACCAGTCTGGCCTTGAACTCAGAGCTCTGCTTGCCTCTACTGTCTGGCATTTTCCCCCCTTTTAAAGTTTTGTTTTTTCCAGACAAGGTTTCTCTGTAGTTTTGGAGCTAGTCCTACGACTCCACAGACCAGGCTGGCCTTGAATTCAGAGATCCACCTGCCTCTGTCTCCCAAGTGTTGGGATTAAAGGTGTGTACCAATATTGCCTGGCTTTCCCATTATAATTTTTACTTTTATGCCCACTGGTATTTTGCCTACCTATGTTTGTGAGGGCATCAGAAGCCAACGCCTGGCTAACATTTCTAGTTTTATTTTATCTTTTGCCAGACTTTAAGCTCACACCTGGCTCTGCCACTTTTAGATACCTGGATTGTATGAGGATCTGGGTGTAGCTCAGAATAGAGGGGAAGCTTTTCATGAAGATCCAGGCTGAAGTCAGGAAGAACGGAGAACCACCAAGTCTAGGGAAGAAAAAAATGCCCTCATTTATTTGGTGTAAGACAGCATCCTTAATTGGTTAAGTTAATGGACTCTTATTTTTTGGAGACAGGATCTCTCTAGTTCTGGTTGTCCTGGAACTCACTATGTAGCCCAGGTGAGCCTCAAACTCAGAGATCCACCTGCCTCTGCCTCCTAAGTGCTGGGATAAAAGATGTGCGCCACCATGTCTGGCTAGTTTATAGCTCTTGTGTTGTGCAACCCTGAGTTCAAATCCTATGTATTTCACTTGGTGTTTATTACTTAGGTAAGTGACTTAAATTTTTTTTTTTTGTTTTTTGTTTTTTCGAGACAGGGTTTCTCTGTGGCTTTGGAGGCTGTCCTGGAACTCACTTTGTAGACCAGGCTGGCCTCAAACTCACAGAGATCCGCCTGCCTCTGCCTCCCGAGTGCTGGGATTAAAGGCGTGCGCCACCAACACCCGGCAAGTGACTTAAATTTTAACAACCCTGGATTTTGTTTTCCAGTCTAAAAAACAATGATAAAACAATTGCTTCACAGGGTAGCTGTGAAGACTGAATGAGGAAAGTGACAGAAAACACAGAGAAGGGATGGGTAATAGAACTAACTCAATGGCAGTGTGTGTGCTGAGCATGTTTAAGGACCACAAAATATAAACACAAGAAGCTAGGCATGGTGGTACATGTCTTTAACCTCAGAACTTGGGAGGCAGAGAGAGGCAGGTGGGTCTCTGTAGGTTCCAAGTTAGCATAACCTTAAAAATAAATAACAAATGAATAAGTAAATAGATAGATAAATATGATCAAGTTCCAGGCTAGGCAGGGCTACACAGTGAGACCCTGCCTCAAATAAAAACAAAACAAACCAACAACACAGAAGTAATTAGATAAGCTCTCCTTTCTCCCGAGACAGAATCTCATGTATCACATAGACCAGGCTGTCCCTGAGCTTACTAGGTACTTTAACCCCCAATTCTCCTGCCTCCACCCCACAGTGAACATCTTCCCATCAAGGTGCCTGTCCTGGCTAGTTTATGTCAATTTGATATTGAGAAAATTCCTCGACTGATCCAGCTTGTAGGGTATTTTCTTAATTAGTGATTGATGGGAGAGGGCCCAGATTGCTGTGGTGGGGTCCCTTGTGGGCTGGTAGTCCTGGGTGCTATAAGCAGGCTGAACAAGACACAATGAGCAGGCCAGTAAGCAGCCCTCCATGGTCTCCTCATTGGCTCCTGCTCTCAGGTTCTTGCTGTTTTGAGTTCCTGGCCTGGCTTCCTTCAACATAGTGTGAGTCAAACAAAAAAAAACAAACCCTTTCCTCCTGGACTTGTTTTTGGTCATGGAGTTTCATAGCAGCAATAGAAACCTTGACTAAAACACTGGCCCTTCTCTGATCCTAATCTCCAGCCTTCTCTTTTATCTTTCCTGACCTGGTAAGTTGCACGTTGTTGGGGCCTTCGATAGAGGATGGAGGCTGCAGTCTGGCCCATTTTACCACTCACAGTCACCTCTGTGTGAGCAAGGGTGTTCAGTGCTCCCATGGGGCCGGGGCCATGAAGCTCTTCATGTAGCAAGCCCAGGACACGTACCTGTTCTACTAGGGAGTTAGCACCTGGATAAGGACAAGAAATGTAGAACATGAAAGACACATGGTAGCATTTAGGAGAAGGCCTTGGAGCACACAGTGCAGAGAAGGAAGGAGAGGTCCCATGCTAGCATATGGACCGCCAGTCTTACAATCTCTCTATACTGCTCTGTGTCTTTACTAGCTCACACCTTAATTATCCAATCCAGATCTCATGGGTGACCACTGCTTCTATCTTTCAGCACGACATGAACACTTTTAGCATGTGCCCACAAATTTTGTAGTCTCATCAATTACTGAACTGCTTGTACAATGTGGGTATTAGGTAGTGCCTTCCTTTCTGTAATATTAACAGCATGATATTCTGTATCAAACACTTTGGCACATTTTTTACATTTTGTGGATGTTTATGCATACATGTTATACCATGGTTAGCATGTGCCATAGATGCTTGTGGAGATCAGAGGTTAACTTTTGGAAATCTTTTCTTCTAACATGCGGGACTCAGGCATTGAATAAAGGTCCTCAGACTTGGTGGCAAGCATCTTTACCCACTAAGCTGTCTTGCTGGCCCAACCTGGCACATTTCATTCATTCATTCATTTATTCATTTGTTTATTTATTCATTCATTTCTGAGACAAGGTCTCACTAGAAAGGCTTAGCTGGCATGGATCTAGATATATAGAGCAGGCTGGTCTTTTTGGTTTTTTGAGACAGGATTTCTCTGTATTGTTTTAGAGCCTATCCTAGAACTTGCTAGGTAGACCAGGCTGGTCTCGAACTCATAAGAAATCAGCTAGCCTCTGCTAAGATTAAAGGTATGTGTCTTTCCACAGCCAGCTCTAATTTTTAAAAAATGGTTTATTTTTATTGATGTGTGTGGGTGTTCAGAGGCCAGAAGAAGGTGTTAAGCTTCATTTCAAGTCACATTTATTTCTTTGTATCTTTTAAGAGAACAAGCTTCTAGAAGGCAATAACCCAGTTGTAAGGGCAGTCCTTATTGTTTCATTATTTAAAACTGTACCTGACATTGCACTATATTTATATTTGTAAAATAAGTGAATGAGGGGCTAGAGATGTAGCTCAGCTACTAAGCTTCCTGCCTGGCATAAAAGAAGCCCCAGACTCTAGATTAGTAGCTTATACACTGTGCATGGTGGCACAGGCCTACACTTAGCCTTAGGAGGCAAAGGCAAGCAGGGAATCAGAAGCTCAGTATTGATCTGGCCTCTCAGCCTAGCCAGGCCCTGTACGTCCTCCCCGGGATCTAGCTGAACTGAGATCATTACAGACCATAACTGACCAAAGCCCAACCTAAGGTTCAGGGACCATCTTGGAAGAGGGTTGGAAAGACTGTAAGAGCCAGAAGGAAAGGAAGTTTGCTCTGAGATTTCCTTTTTTTTCTTTTGAAAGATTTATTTATTCCTGTATTTACATAGAGTGCTCTGTCTTCATGCACACCAGAAGAGGGCACCAGATCTCATTACAGATGGCTGTGAGCCACTATGTGGTGGCTGGGAATTGAACTCAGGACCTGTGGAAGAGAACTAAACTGCAGAGCTATCTCTTTCATATAGCAATGTCAGAAGCTATACCTATTAAGTCTCACTAATATGGCGGCCTAAACAAGAGCCAGACAAGGAAGACGCCAACAGACAGGCTAACACGGAAGGGGAAATAAATCCCACAGGGCCTCAACACTAGACGAAGAACTACAGGCAACTAAGGAATACTGAGAATGGGAGAAGCAGTCTTCCCAAGTGAAAAGCCCTCCAATCTGTTACAGAATACCAAACGGTCAGCCTTCAAATCATACACATATAAGTAACATGATACAAAATGAACGGGTTATATTTACATACTTAGGAATATGTATCTATGTAACAATACTTAAAGATTTTAAAAATTAATAATAATAATAAAGAAACTGTTGCTACACATGGTGGCCTTTAATCCCAGTACTCGGGATGCAGAGGCAGGCGGATCTCTGTGAGTTCGAGGCCAGCCTGGTCTACAGAGCAAGTTCCAGAAAGGCTTCAAAGCTACAGAGAAACCTTGTCTTGAAAACAAAACAAAACAAAAAATCCTTATTACCCCCTCCCCTTGTCCAGGACTGGGATTAAAGGTGTGCTCAACCTTGCCCAGCTAGACACACACAGTCTTAAACAACAAATCTCCAACAACCAACATTCCACCCCCCAGTTCTCCCCAAAAGGTTAAGGAGATAGCAGAGTATCGGACTGGAGATCCCTGAGGCCTCTTGGTGTGGCAAAGGAGTGACATTCTTGGGCTGGAGAGATGGCTCAGAGGTTAAAAGCACTGGCTGTTCTTCCAGAGGTCCTGAGTTCAATTCCCAGCAATGACATGGTGGTTTACAACTACCTGTAACAAGGTGTGGTACCCTCTTCTGGCGTATACTTAATAATAAATAAAATCTTAAGAAAAAAAAAAAGGAGTGACACTCTTTGGCAAGATGTGCTATGTAAGGGTTAATAACAGAGGAGGAAACTCACCTGGGGAGACATTTGGCTGGCTCAGAGCATGTAGGGTTTTACAGAGCGTAACACAGGGAAGACGAAACAACAGCCAGCTGAGAGAGTCGAGAGCAATGGTGACAGGGCCAGGATCTGTCCTTCGGCACAAAGCTCTCAAGGTTCCTAGAGGTCCTTCAGGGACAGCTTCACCAGGTTTTAACCAGTTAAGAGGGTCTTTAAAGAGGTCATGGTAAACCAGGCTATAAAGGGACGATAGAAGACTTGTTACAACCCTGAACCTCTTCCTGATTTTTTGCTTTTTTTTTTTTTTTTTAGACAGGGTTTCTCTATGTAGCCCTGGCTGTCCTAACCTCACTCTGTAGACCAGGCTGGCCGCAAATTCACAGAGATCCACCTGCCTCTGCCTCCTGAGTGCTGGGATTACAGGTGTGTGCCACCACCACCCAGCTCTTCCTGATTTTCAAACTCTCCCCCCCCACAATTTTCATCAATATCTTAAAGAAAGCTAATTACTGAAAGGATTTGGTGACTGACAGCAGACTTTGGTGTCTCATAACCTAAGTTCCAAGGTTGACTTTGGACTTTTGGTCACATAACTGGGAATTCTACCCTTTAAAGTCCTTTTGATTTTTTTTTTTTTTTTTTTTTGGTTTTTCGAGACAGGGTTTCTCTGTGGCTTTGGAGGCTGTCCTGGAACTAGCTCTTGTAGACCAGGCTGGCCTCGAACTCACAGAGATCCACCTGCCTCTGCCTCCCAAGTGCTGGGATTAAAGGCGTGCGCCACCATCGCCCGGCCTTTTTTTTTTTTTGGTTTTTGAGACAGGGTTTCTCTGTGGTGTTGGAGGCTGTCCTGGAACTAGCTCTTGTAGACCAGGCTGATCTCGAACTCACAGCTCCAGGTAACCTGATGTAATCTAGGGTTCAAAATTGCTATGTGGTCTAGGATGTCCTTCAATTTCTGATCCGCCTGTCTAAACTTTCCAAGTACTGGGATCACAGACAGCACACAGGGTTATGTAGTGCTAGGGACCAAATCCAGAGCTTTGAGCATGCCAGGGAAACACTCCTTTACCAACTGAGCTGTCTGTAATTCCTAAAACAAATTTATAATTTATATTTTTATTTTATGTACACTGGTGTTTTGCCCGCATGTATGTGTGAGGGTGTTGAATCCCCTGGAACTGGAGTTACAGTTTTGAGTTGCCATGTGGATGCTGGGAATTGAACCCAGGGCCTCTGGAAGAGCAGTCAGTGCTCTTAACTGTTGAGCCATCTCTCCAGCACTGTAAATTTACAATTTTTAAAGCTTTTATTAAAAAAAAGATTTATTATTATAGTGTTCTTTCTGCATGTATCCCTGCAGGCCAGAAGAGGGCACCAGATCTCATTACAGATGTTTGTGAGCCACCATGTGGTTGCTGAGAATTGAACTCAGGACCTCTGGAAGAGCAGGCAGTGCTTTCAACCATTGAGTCATCTCTCCAGCCCCGTAAATTTATAATTTTTAAAAAGGATTTTATCTCAGGCCAGGCGTTGGTGGCGCACACCTTTAATCCCAGAACTCGGGAGGCAGAGGCAGGAGGATCTCTGTGAGTTCCAGGCCATCCTGGTCAACAGAGTGAGTTCCAGGCCAGCCTGGTCAACAGAGTGAGTTCCAGGACAGCCTCCAATACAGAGAAACCTTGTATTGAAAAACCAAGGAGAAAAAAAAAAAAGGATTTTATCTTACTTTTAGTTATGCATATATATGTGAGTGTTTGATCATGTGCAAGTGAGTACAGGTGCCCAAGAAAGCCAGAAGAAGACATCACATGCCCTTGAGCTGGAAATGCAAGTGGTTGTGAGCTACCCTATGTAGGTGTTGGGAAACAAACTCAGGTACTCTGCAAGGGCAGTAGGCACTCTTAATTGGTGAGCCATCTCTCTAGCTCTGGTTTATTACAATTACTACTATTATTATTATTATACTTTCTAAGACAGGACAGTACTATGCTGCCTTGGCTGGCCTGGAACTCATTATGTAGAGTAGACTGTTCTTGAACTCACAAGAGAACTGCTGGTTTCTGCCTCTCAAGTGCTGTATTAAAGGTGTGCACTACCATGACTATCTGGATGACACTGTGGATTGAACTTAGAGGGCTGTGTAATATTCCTTTACAGTGTGTGAATATATGTCTCTGTGATTGGTTTAATAAACAAGCTGACTGGTCAATAGCTGATCAGAACACAGTTAGGTGGGAAAGCCAAACTGAGAATGATGGGATGAGGAAGGGTGGAGTTACCTGAAGATATGGGGCAGGAGATGAATGACCTATGACATGTCAGAGTGTAAATAAGGAATATGTGTTAACTTAAAATGTAAGAGCTAGTTAGTAACAAGCCTGAGCTACTGGCAGAGCATTTACAATTAACATAAGCCTCAGAGTGGTTATTTGGGACTGGGCAGATGGGATAGAACAGTCCATTTACATTAGGGCCTTAAGAATGCTGCTCTAGGGGGATGATGATAGTTAAGAGCACTAGCTGCTCTTCCAGAGGACCCAGGTTCAATTCCCAGCAACCACATAGCAGCACACAACTGTCTCTAACTTCTGTTTCAGAGGGTCCAACACCCTCACACAAACATAAATACAGGCAAAATAACAATATACACAAAACACAAATAAGTAAATTATAAAAAAAGAATGCTGTTTTACCACAGAGTTTTGTCCATCCTGTTTGTGATTTATTTGTGGCGCACATCTTTAATCCCATATTTAGTAGGCAGAGGCAGGTGGATCGTTGAGTTTGAAGCCAGCCTGGTCTACAGCGTGAGTTCCTATCTCAAAAAATAAAAAATGAAGCCACCATTATCCAATTAGAAATCTAAAGATTATTTTCACTAAAACACTACCTCTTCACTTGATTCTACACATGATGAAAATGGAATGAAAGGCTTGCTTGGTACTTCTGTCTTCATGCTGTATCATTCTCTTTGTTACTGTAATTTTAGAATTACAGTCCATTCTCTTCAGTACTGTAGACACGTTAGTCATTTGAAAATCATTTTGTTTTGGTGGCTGAAGAGATGGCTCACTAGTTAAAGAGCACTTGTTGCTTTTGATGAAGGTCCTGAGTTGATGGTGGCTCAAACAATGTATAACTACAGTTCCAGGGGCTCCAACACCCTCTTCTGAGTTCTGCATGTGCTAAGGCATGCCCATAGTACACATATATACATGTAGAAAACACTCATACACATAAGATAAAAATAAAAAAAATTAAAGTCATTTTGGTTTTTTTGGCACATAAAAGCAGCCTGAGGAAGCAATCATTTAAAGAACTCTGTAATTATTTGTGCCTATTAAAATGAGATTTTATTTGTTTTACATTTATTATTTATTTAGAGAAACGGTCTCACTATGTAGACCTGACTGACCTGGAACACACTATGCATGGCTTCAAACACATAGAGCTCTGCCTGTATCTGCCTTGTGATCACTGGAATTACAGTGTGTACTACCACAGTGGCCTTATACCATTGTTTTATTAAAGACATACTATAATTACATGTGGACTGTAACATAATCATAGCGCACTGGAGGGTGGGACAGGATTGAGGAGAGCTGGAGGCTACTGTGGACTACACAGTGAGTTTCAAGGCAGCCTGGGCCTCATAATGAGATCATATTTTCTTTTTTCACATTTAAAAAAAGATTTATCTACTTATTACATATACAGTGCTGTGCCTACAGGCCAGAAGAGGGCACCAGATTGAACTGCAGATGGTTGTGAGCCACCATGTGGTTGCTGGGAATTGAACTCAGGATCCAGGGAAGAGCAGTCAGTGCTCTTAACCTCTGAGCCATTTCTCCAGCCTCCCACATATTTTTTTAAATAACCAAATGTTCTTTTCTGAGGAAAAAAAAATAAGAAGGAAAAAAGTTTTGTTCAAAGCATACTAACTTTGGAGTTAGTATGCTTTTATCTTGTGTTTTCAATTCAATTCCAGCATCTACAGTCCTGAGCCTTATAAAGCCCAGAAGAAAACAATTCCAAGGACATTTATGGAAGACGATGGCATTACCTACAGAAGAAGCTGCAGTTTCTTATTAACTTGCAAACATTGAGCCAGAATGCTATGTACGGGAAAATATTTTTACAGTCTTCTGCTCCTTTGTTTAGTGGGCAATAGCCTCATGATGCTGCTTTCCATCAGTGCTGAGTCCTTGTCTCCAGCCAAGTTGGCCAGCTGGGACCAAAGTCTCCGGAACCCTGCTAGTCTTGTTTGTAATTTCTACCTTTCCAAGTCATACAATCCCATTTCCACACAATTCGAGATGAGCCTGTGCTCCCGTTGAAAAGACGCCGCTTGCCAACTGTGGTCCGAATGAAACTCGTTCTAATTTATACTTACCGGTTGTTGACATCAGAGCCAAAACCTTCGCGAAACTCTTCTTCACTCACTTCACAGCCCAGAACGTGGATCTGCTCCCCACTAAAGCAGAGATGAAGGAAATATGCTGAAGAGTGGGACACCAGCTCCCTTCCCGGGAAGGACCTGGGGAAGCCTCGGGATAACTCACCGAAGTGCAGATTTCTTGATAAGAGCCTTTAGGAGACTACGCCCCTCGCACTCCACGGAATCTGCGGAGAGCCAAGCAGGAGAAAGTCCGACGGAGCCCTTAGGTCTCCGACTTCATAACCCACCGCGACTTCCACCCCCAGCCAGGTATCTCTGGCGGGTCCTCAAGACTTCCTCCCCTCCGGCAAGGTCCGAGGCTCGCCCCGCGTGCCTCTATTCCTCACCTCGAAGAAGCACCAAGCCACCGAAGGCCAACAGCGAGTCCAGCATCTCTGACGCCTTCGGACGCCTTCTGATGTCGTCATGGCCAAGGAGGCGGAGCACTTACGTTGGCTTCCACCATTAAAAGTCCGCAAAGTCTGGAACGAGGGGGTTTATTTTTTCCTTTTCTTTCTTATGCTCAGTGTTCTCAGGGGGGTCACTCGGAGGGGCCGCTCCAGAGATGACATCCTCAGTCTGTTCTTGGACGGTGACAAGGGCGAGGAGGGCCGTTGGAACAGTTGTCAGTGGGATGGGGATCGGGGTCGCACGAGCCCCACTCCCCAAAGGGGCCGAACCTGGGACTGCATGACGTCACTCAGCTCCGCCCACACCATCAGAGGCCCGCTCCGGGTCCCGCCCGGCAGTAACCTTGCGCGCGTGCGCAACGCTGCATCCCGAGTCTGGGCTCTCTGCTTTCCTTAACTCTACCCTCCCTCATTAGAACCAGTCGAGGGAACATCAATCCCAGGGAAGTGAATACACGTCACGACCGGAAGTACTGTCAGAGGGGAAGAGGAGGAGGGAAGACAGGAGGAGGGAGCCCTTTGGGCGGTAAAATGGCGCCTGTCAGAGTGGGAAGCCCAGCTGCAGGGGCTGCAGCCCCGCTCCTTAGCGGCTAAGAGACCCCGACCTCGGGGAGGGGGAGGCCACTCCGGCCCAGCGCTCCGCGCCCTTCGGCTCCCCCTCCCCCTCCTTCCCTGCTCCTGCGCCCACAGGCCCCAAGAGTCGTCGTGGCCCTTCGCGCGCCGCTGCCCCCGCCCGCCCCCTTCCCGGGGCAGACCCCTAGCGCGCCTGCGCAGAGGGCCACCCTTCGCTTTCCCCTTCCCCTCCCATCTCCCTCCCTCCCTTCTCCCTTGCCCCCTCCCCCACCACCCCCTCCCCCAATTCTCCATCCCCTTCCCTCCTGGTCTCAGAGGACCCCGTCCTAGCCCGACCTGTTTCGGCCTGCAGCCCACGCGAAGCCGTCGGTGCCACTTCCCGCTCATGTGGGCCCCTGCGGGCTGCCCACGCCAGTCCCCCAGCTCCCGGTTCCGCTGGGCTTTCCCTTCGCTGGGGGTGGCTTTCTGAGCCACCCACTCCGTGCCCATCTCTGCAGCCTCTCCTGCCGCTCGGGGCCCCCGTTCCCCCTCCCGGCGGCGGGGGGCTGCCCCCGGGGGGCTGGCGGAGCTGGGCCGCGGGGGCCCCGGGGCCGGCGGTGCCGGGGTCATCGGGATGATGCGGACGCAGTGTCTGCTGGGGCTGCGCACGTTCGTGGCCTTCGCCGCCAAGCTCTGGAGCTTCTTTATTTACCTTTTGCGGAGGCAGATCCGCACGGTGAGTTGGTGTGGGTGCTGACAGTGGCTGGGACCTCTGTCCGCGGTGCTCACGGAATTTTGGATAGCGTTGGGCCTCTTGTTTTGGGCCTAGGAAGGGAGCCTTGGCCAGCGCTTTACCCGCTGGAGAAGTAGGACACCTTTAAGCAGGGTTTAGAACCTTATAGAAGAACCAAAATCTGTATGGTTTTGATTTCTTTTTTTAATCTGCCTAGATGGGATTTGGCAGCTCTTGGGGGCTAGAATGGTGCACTCTTTAAGAAAGCTGGAGTTGTTGCTAAAGAAAGAGGCTGGGGACACCTGTTTGCTGGTAGCCAGACCCTGCTGTTGAAAGAGCCAGGATCCTTTGTCAGTGGTGTGTGTGTGTGTGTGTGTAGGAGGGCATATGTAGCAGGGATGGCAACTTGGGGAAAAGCCTTGGTTGTGCAGGAGCTCCTCCAAAAAGACTCGGGAAACCTATAGTGTGTGTATATGGGTTTGCTGATACCCCGGGACTGAAAAAGATGCGTTTATAATGGGCATCTTTAGTTGTAAGAGGCAGCACGTTAAAGTTGGGTGTCTCATTAGAAGACCTGACTGTTAGCTGTAAAGCTTGCATCTGAAGGTGGGCATGTTTCTCCAGGAGACTAGCAATTAGGAAGAGATACCTGAGTGTAGAGACTGGATGAACCCAAGCATCCCTGGGTTCTCTCCCTCAAGCTTTTCTCAGAGGTAAAATTTATTTCAGCTAACATCACTTGATGAATGTGCCCCTGTGTTTTCATCACCTCTGGGGCAAATCTCCTAAAGTCGGGTACTGGGGAAAGTGAGTGAGCCCCAGAAAGACTTTGGCGCTTGGCTTATTTGAGAGCATACCCTGGACTTGCATTCATTCTCTAGCAATCCAGTCTATTTCTTCCACTTCCTGGTTTGGGGTGAGGATTATCCTGGGTGGTGGTGGTGGTTGTAAGCACACCTAGTCTCCTAAGAGTGGTAGGATTCATGAACGATTTGGTGTATGCAAGGCTGACACAGTGTATGCCTAACTCCTGTGGTTTTATGTGTTGACATCTGCTTGTCCTTTCATCCTGAGCTTGTCCTAAGAATCTGCCCTCTGCTAACAGCTTTTTTTTTTTTTTTTTTTGAGTGTAGGGAGTAGTGCTGTAGTCCTTGTTTTGGAAGATTAGTTACTTCCTAAATTGCTCCCCTGTACATCACTGACCCCACAGCCTTTTGTCCTCCCTTCCCTTCCAGTCTGGTTTTTTCCCCACGCCCTTTCTGGCTGATACTTAGAGCATTCCCTACATGCCCAGCATGTGCAACCCGAGATAGCGGGGCAGGACACCCGAGCTGTTTCAGCCCTCGTCACTGGCTCAGGGAGAAAAGAAGGGCAGATGCCTTGGGATTAAAGAAGAGAGGGCCTTTTGGTTTTCAAGTAGGGAGTGTGTGCCTTACGGCCTAGGAATGGACTGAGAGCATTTGTCTGTTAGAAAGAGCACAGAAGCTCTGGGGTTAGGAATAGCTTCTAGAGAAGCAGAGCTGGAAAGCTTGAGTGATGATGTCCTTGTCCCTTTTCACCTCTCTCTCACAGTCCTTGCTTCACTTTGGCCTTCTATATGTCCTGTCAGGTGTAGTAGGACTGTAAAGTAAGACAATGTTCTCTACACTGCCCTGAGTACCAGGGTAAAGAGGCTCTTCAGACATTCTCTACAACTTGTGACTTGGCTAGTAGAAACATAAGTGGACAGGTGGCTGGTTAAAATAGTCCTGATGACCCTTAGTCAGAGGAACTTAGCTGACCTGACAACCCCTTGATTCCTTCATCTACTGTTCCTCTCAGTGATCCAAGGACTTCCTTTTCTGACTCCTATTCTCTGCCCACTAAGAGTCTGAGGTTCTTGGTTCCCAAGAGAGGTGACAGGAGTGGCCATAAAGAATCCTTGAGGTGAAGGTGGGGAACCTGTGTGTTTCTTCGTTCAGTGTGGCAGGATATATTAAGAGGGCACATTCTGCTATTAGCTCATTATCTTGCTACAGTATTTTTTTTTTTTGCGTTTGTTTTTTGTTTTTCAAGACAGGGTTTCTCTGTGTAGCTTTGGAGGCTGTCCTGGAACTAGCTGTTGTAGATGAGGCTGGTCTCTTAACTCACAGAGAGCCGCTTGCCTCTGCCTCCCGAGTGCTGGGATTAAAGATGTACACCACCACCGCTGGGCATCCTTTGTATGGTTTTTAAGGCACTGGAAAAATAGGCATGATTGAGAGGAAATTCGTGTTTTCATTTTAGTTTTTTAATTTTATTTTTTGGTTTTTCGAGACAGGGTTTCTCTGTATTGCTTTGGAGGCTGTCCTGGAACTAGCTGTTGTAGATGAGGCTGGTCTCTTAACTCACAGAGATCCTCCTGCCTCTGCCTCCCCAGTGCAGGGATTAAAGGTGTGCGCCACCACCGCCCGGCTCATTTTAGTTTTAATAAGGAGATGAGACTAGCTGTGCAGCCCTAGGCATGAAGGTATTTAGTCTTTGCTGCCTGTCTCACCACCCGTTAAACAAGGATAATTATAGTATTTCTTGAATTTTTTTTTTAAAGTTGCTGGGTATTGAACCTAGAGTCTCTTACATGTTAGACAAGTGTTCTATCATTGAGCCTTACTCTATCCTTATGAGGATTATATATTAGATCCTGAGTCTTACATATAGTGCCTAGCATATGGTATATGTTCGGTATTTGCTATTATTATTGTCAGGAAAGGTTTCCGTATAAGGGGTTCTAATTTCCTTTCTCTTGTTATTCTTAGGTAATTCAGTATCAGACTGTTCGATATGATATCCTTCCCTTGTCTCCTCTGTCCCGGAATCGACTAGGTGAGTGTGTTGGATGGGAAAACTACCCACAGGTGAAGTAGGCTCCAGCTTTGGGCTGGAGGTCATCGGTGTTGTTTCTTCCATGTGGTCCAGCCCAGGTGAAGAGGAAGATCCTGGTGCTGGATCTGGATGAGACACTTATTCACTCTCACCATGATGGGGTCCTGAGGCCTACAGTGAGGCCTGGAACACCTCCCGATTTCATCCTCAAGGTGTGTGGGGTTATGAAGTAGTTAATCTCTTACTGTGTCCAGACATAAACTCTCTTTCCCAGTCTTAAGGGTTAGGGCTTGGCAAGACCTAGCACCAGCATCAGCCAGGAGAAAAGCAGGTGGCGGGCATAAGGGCAATGTCAGTGTGGTGGTACTCAGGACTCCCTCATCTTCTCCCCGTTCCTTTGCAGGTGGTAATAGACAAACATCCTGTCCGGTTTTTTGTACATAAGAGACCCCATGTGGATTTCTTCTTAGAAGTGGTGAGTGCCATGAGCTAATGGGAACTCCCTGATGAAAGAGGGGTGGTAGGGTCCTGGGTCTTCAGGGGATTTAGAGAAAGGGTGAGAAGCTGGCATGGTGGTCAGGGTTCTCTTGAGGAACAGAACCAATAGAATGCAAATATACAGATGTATATTATTCAGCTTACAATAAAAAAGTGTGAAGTTGTCTTATACCTGAGAGGCTAAGAACCAGATAGATGCTCAGTGCTTGAGCCGGGTACCTCAGCAGTTGGAGCAGTTTCATGGTGTTGTTTTATGCTGGAAAGGCTGACAGTTTTATAGTTATTCAGTTCATGAGGCTGGTATCCCAACAGTTCCAATCTGATGCTGAAAATTTGGGAGGTTCCTAAAGAGCTGCTGGTTCTTAGTTGATGAGAGATGTTTGGAAATGCTGGTTGTGACATTAGTGAAGGAAGCAGCTGCAGCAGCAGGGTGAATCAACACAGTAGGGGTCAAATGAGCAAGAAGCAAATAACCTTCCTTCTATTGTGTTTGTTTTTAACCTGGGCTACTACCAGAAGGTTCTACCAACTCTCATGGTGGGTCTTCTCACATCACTTAAAGCAATCAGGACAATTCTTCAATTGAGTGCCCTATTTG